ATTGCAAATTGTGCTATGCCTTGTTTTTCTAACTAAAGCAGATTGTAGCATTATTTATCTAGCGCTCACCCTGACTGCCTTCCAGAGGGGGTTGAAGCTGAGAAATGTGTCGTACAAACACGGTTTACCCACACAGGCTAATTAGTATGGCACTTCCGCAATATGAATATTTTAACATCCTGTAATCAAGACACCAGCCAAAATGGAAAACTAGCAAAATGTGCTCTCGATATTGCTATGGGAATATAGCGCTATAAGTATGTCGAGCAATTACAGTGGCTCTTGGCTCTTGTTAAATCTTATAATAATATGCTTTGTTTGCGGTGTAGCGGAGCAGAGATCCAATCACCTATGAAAGCAGTCAGACTGCTGATGATATTCAGGTGCTGGACCAGAGACACCTACCTCTATCTTGAGTTCTGAATGTAGGCGAGGGGTTTCCCATCTTCTCCTATCCTGCCTTAAGCTATCCAGCAAAACATACCTTAAGAACAGCTGTCAGACCAGTTGCTTGAGCATCCCTTTGGTGATGTTAGCGATGGAGCAGATCTGGCAGTGTTATTATTGTTATTGAGGTTGTGTCACGGTGTGACACCTATCAATTTACAATCACTAGAGAGCTATGCATTGTTGTTGTTGTCACTATTATTATCACACAGTTGGCCTTTCAGTGCCTGTAGCTTCCATGTGGCCTTTAGGAGTCGTGGTTTTGCCATAAGGCCTGTACACTGCACCAGTTAAATTTTGCCAAATGGTCAGCCATGCTTTGCTGGGCTATGCCACAGTCGGGTATACTGATGGGCTGGTGACACTCAAGTCAATTAAAAAATCTATCCTTCTGAATAATTTGCATGATAAAGCACGATTCCTCACAGGCTAATTGCAAAGCATACAATTAGTTCTATTGAATAACTTATCACCTGTAGGTCACTTAACATCATCATGAATAATGAACAAGAACAAAGTTTTTTTGTTAAATAAGTTAATGCTTAAACTTAAGTTAAGTTAAATTAATGTGGCACAGTATATACACATTTGTGAATTGCATCAGTTAATGTAGTCAGTGTGCAGTCCTTGCACAGGTGTTCCAATAGGTCTTTGTGTTCATGTTCAGTAAAGAATATGATTACCAAAAGCAGGAACCATTCTATATTTGGAGGACAGTGTCAAAGGTCATCAGGATATTTGACAAGCATAGTATCGACAGTAGCTCCAGATAAATTACTTTCCAACCTGGGTTTATAGGTACAAGCCTGTTTCACTCAATTTCCCCCTTGACTGTAACTATCTTTCTAATGAATACTGCAGATGCTGGTGTGGTCCGTTAATCCCTGAAACACATAATGACAATCTAGCCCATAAATTCATGTCGAAACAGTGGTCAATTTCTAATGTCTTGTTTCTTCTTCTGTGTCAATGGCCAAGAATAGTCACCGTCTGTTCATATGCTCACATTAGTTATTGAAGCAACATGTCGATAGAAGTATATTTAATCACTTAAACACACAGCGATGAAGGGTACGGTCACTGCCATGCGTTCGTATAGAGCAGAGCAGAAGGGTTCCTCTAAACACTTATTGTGTGTTAAAGGGGACCCATTAAATAATCTCTCATTGTGTCCAAGTGAAAGCAATAGATTATAAGAATATAAGCAGCTTGTTTGACCTTCTCAAACTGGTCAATAAGGACGGACCATGCAGATGGTGTTGTTGCCATGGATAACATCTGCACAATCTTTCCTGTTTGAACGATTGGCAACTATAGATTCTATGTGGAGCTCATAAATTAAACCCACTACCAAGGCTGGCAGATTCAATGTAGTTTTATGGGGCATCCCTGGGAAGGACAGCAGCCCTCTCTAGTTAGATGCGTGACACGGTCTGCTTGGGGGGGTCAGGTGTGTAAGGGCAGAGGGACCTGTTTCAACTCGGACTGCTGGAGACCAGGACTCAGCCCAAGAGAAGCAAAACTGCAACTTTGCTGGGCCGCGTTGGTCCATCTGACCTACTTTGTCCGGACTCATTGAGGAATGTTTATAAATAAATGAAGAAAATGTCCTATATGCAAATAAATAAAACATAATCACAATATTTAGAATCAATATCTCAGTCCATACTTTAGAAGGTCAGGAAATATCAATAAATTTCCCTGCAGAATAATAGCCTTGCTTCCAAGTTGACAACAATCAAAAAATTGCTTATTTTCTTGTATTATTATTAGTATTCCATTGTAAAGTTTTTCAGAAATGCATTTCTTTTGCCCTCGTCATTTTTGAGGTGGGTTTCCGGCTCGTCACAGTGTGTGTAAAAATGTCGCCGTCGCATGGATGTGAGGAGCACGGTTCCCTGCCCCGGGCCGAGTTCCCGCGTCCTGCCGGAATTCACTCCTTCTGGCCCCGTTTCTGCTTCGCTCTGCCTTCATCCTCCAAGACGACACCTGCCAAGGCTGGGATAAAGGCAGCTTTGAATGATGTTACTTCTTGCTAATTGAAGAAGACATCAGATAAATCTGTGCTTATCCTTGCTACCAACTCGATGGAGGCCATCTTCTCAGGTAAAACCATCGGTCTGCTTCTCTCTATGGGGCTCTGCCCTGTCTGAGGGATGTGACGTGAACAGATTACAGTAAGAGCTAACTGACAGGTAATGCTTCTACTATCTTGGTCACCGTAAAGCTACATTTGTCGTTACTCCTACCTCTGTGGATAGAGCAAGACTGGGATTCGAACTCTGGCTTCTTTTCAGCTAACAAGAAAAACTATTACCATCTTAGATAAGATGAATGGATTTATGCAATATTACAGCCAGGCCCCAGGTTAAGAACGTCCAACTTACGGACGTCTCGTACTTATGAACAGACCTCCATAAGGCCGATTATATAAAAAAAACTCAAGATAAATACAATGGTTTGTAATAACAAACACATGCGATACTTTGTGACGCTCGTGAAAATATTGCATGGCTTCGACGGTTTGTCGGCTTCAGGTACAGCACAGTACCAGATGTAATTACAATTATTATTACTCTATAATACTAATTATTACAATGTACTTTTTGGCTTACTTATAAATTCAACTTAAACACAGACTTAGGGAACGGATCTCGTTCTTAAGCTGGGGACTACCGGTAATCTACAGACATATCACAGCTGATATTCCGATTTTTATGCAAAGTCTTCCTGTGTAGAAAGCATATATGAATTTAAAAGATATTGTGCTGCTTTTTGTTCATATAGCTTTGATGCCAGTGAACGATTTACATCTCTCATGATTGTCTTGTAATAGTGCCTATGTATCATTTTTGCAAACTGTATCCAATCACGACGCACATTTCCGTCTCTGTAAAAGCAGTACCTGGTCCTTGCATATCGAATTGTTAAACAAGATGGTTGTTTTCCTTTGAAGGATGACTCTGGTCCTACCTCACCCAAATCCACAATGCCGAGCAGATAAACATCATATTAATAGAGCAGAATAAAGTGGAAATGTGACGTTGTTATAACTGCTTGTTCATGGATCATGACAGAATTGCCTCTGTTAAGGATCCCACAGAATTTGCAGCACCTTTGACGCTACAGTGTATTATGACCCAGATTTTGTAAAAAGCAATATAAATAACCATTCAAAATATTATGAGTACCTTAACTGGGTCAGAGAGAGCATATTTCTGAAAATAGTCAAGGTCATTACAGAAAAAAGGGGGTTTTGTTTTAGGTCAAAATCGTAAAATGAATTCATAAATTCAAGTGGTTTAACTCTGTTTAGTTTGAATAACTTTTATTGTCAAACGCACGTTGAACTCCACCTGGGTCAGTAGGGACATCGTTATTATTTCTGTGAGCTATGCTCACTAATCGAGTATAGCTAAATTCAGCCATTTTATATTTAAGGTCAGCTGTGAATGACACCAGTGCCATGTGACTTCTTTTCCTTGTTCCTTTAAAATGCACAATGAAATCTGAGGTCTACAGAGTCATGGTGACAAACATAGAACACACTGCCTAAAGTATTATCCCTGAGCATGCTGAGCTACTTGTAAGAACCTGGGCATGCCAGGCTGTTGATAAGAACCTGAGCACACCAGGCTGCTTGTCAGAACCTGAGCACATCGGGCCGCTCATAAGAACCTGCACATGCCAGGCTGCTGATAAGAACCTGAGCACACCAGGCTGCTTGTGAAATCCAGAGCACCCCAGGCTGCTTGTAAAAACCTGAGCCCTCTGGACCACTCATAAGATCCTGAGCACACCAGACTGCTTGTAAAAACCTGAGCACACCAGGCTACTCGTAAAAACCTGAGCACACCAGGCTGCTCGTAAAAACCTGAGCACACCAGGCTGCTTGTTAGGACCTGAGTATGCCAGGCTGCTTGTAAGAACCTGAGCACACCAGGCTGCTCAAAAAACCTGAGCATATTGGGCCGCTCGTAAGAACCTGCACGTGCCAGGCCGCTCGTAAGAACCTGAGGACTGCCAGTGACCCACAGAACCTGGAAGCCTCAGGTGGTGAAGCAAAACAAACTAAATATCTTAGCCACCTGCTATGAGGAAACTTTGATAACCCATCAAACACCAATTTCTGACTGCCAATCAGCACTTTGATTATTATGAACAACCAATCAGAAGGCAGCTATCATAATAGTGTAGCTCATTTGTGTGTTCAGTCAAGATCTGCTATGAATTAGTAAGTGACCTTTACATGTGATACTTAAGTGATGTGCAATTATACAAAGGTTAAGAGCAGGCTTCACGAAACGTGAAGGGGGCAGTACCAAGTCCAGGAGGGGGCAAGAGTGGCAGTTACTGGTTGATGATGTATAAAATAAAACTCAGCATTTGTTTTTAAACTGCATCTCTACTGGGAGCTGATGAAAGAAAATGTGATTCTGTTTTTTGTGTCACTTCAAAGCCTGGTAATATTTGGTAAACAGACTTAGTTATGGTTTATGTTTGACTTTTCTTTAACGTACAAATCATAACAAGGTTCCTTATTTCTCCCTTAGGTAACCAGCAACACAATTACAGCCATCTGGATCTTACTGTTCTGACACCTAAAATCGGTAAGGAGACCAGCACAGGAGAATTAGATACACCTTCAGATCAGATTGTCCTGCGCCATTTGGGTGATTCTGTAGTAAAGGATTTTAGACAAATGATAATGACACTTTGCAATGTATCCCAGTCCCCCCCCAAAAATTTCCATTGGTTCTCCGTGACAGAACACAACTGTGATTGTAGTAGTTCACAGAGCTGCATGAATATAAAGAATGATACCCAGTGACCCTGAATAGGATAAGCGGTCAAGGAAAATGGATGGATGGATGGATGGACATGAATGCTAATGTTTTTGTGTGTGGATTGGCTGGTTTCACAGATACGGGCCCCAGTTAGAGTTACCCAATACCATTTCACCAGCAAGACCTATCACAAACAAATCCTCCAAGAAGGGCTCTTATGGCCAAACCTGACTCATGGAAAATTATCAAGCTTTGATCTATATAATCTATTAACTTTGTCTTTCAAAAAGTACCATAAAAACACATCTGCAACATTAGAGGTCATACCTATCCGATTTGTTTTTAGATAAAAGAAGAAAACAGCAGAATATTCTTTCCTCTAATATTTTCTCACAAGTTTTCCCTTTGGGTGTCCC